GTGAGATAATAAATGTTTATGGTTGTTTCAAACTGCTACGCTTTGAGGTAAGTTCTTACACAGCAACTAATAACGGATAGTCACAGCTAGTGTGAGTTCATTACTTCATTAAAATTTTTGTTTATGTGTTTTTAATATTTCCTGTAATCAGAAGGCATACTCCGGGAGGGCGGGACTGTGCCTCTCCGGCTCACTGTGCCGTCTCCCACGGCTGGAACACAGCGCGACACACTGAGACGGCCAACAAACATGTGCTGAGCACGTTTGGCTGTGGGTCTGCCAAGCTCCCCAACCCCATAGAGAAGACACCCAAGTGTGGCCACGGGAGGGCTTCAGAGGGGCGGAGAGGCCAGCGAGGTTCCCAGAAAATGGGTTAGAGGAGAAGGACGCCCATCTTTAAGAAGTCCCTGGCAGGACCCCATTGCCTGTGAAGGTCCACATTGACCTGGAACTGCTTCCAACCCTTGACCAGCAGGGCAAGTCTTCTTTGCCCTCCAGAAGCCAAATCTAGTCATCGCCTTAACTTAGGTCAGTGACTCCCCTTCTCGCTGGGAAGGGAAGGGGGAGCCCTTCTCAGGTTCCCAGGTCCCCTGGGCAACCGCGGCCCAGGCTGAATTACCCTGCGGTCCGATGAGCGGTGTCCAGGCAGTTCTGCCGCACCCTCCCCACACCCGCCAATCACCCAGGCCCTGTTTGAAAACAGTCACAGCCTTCTGCTTGACTTGAGAAACTCAGACAGGAGGACTGAGCGGAGGATCAGCCTTTCCTGCGGGCTACGTCAGAGCCCGATGAGGACGGGTTGTTTTTAATAAGCTGCACTTGGCAGAAAGTCAGCCCAGAGGTGGGAACGGTGAGGATGGTGCTGGCTGAGCCAGGAGCACCGGGTGGTAGGCGACACCCAGGACAGCGCCACCTCCTCCCTCCTCAGAATTCCAGGCAGGACGGAAAGAAAAAAACGTATTTCAGACGAGAATCGCGCCAGCTCTGGAAAACTCAATAAAGTCTTCGTGCGTAAAAGAGGTGTTTCCAAAGGCTGGTCATTTGACGTCAAGATGGGCAATGAAAAGGCCCCGCTAATTCCCAGAGATGCAGACAAAACGCGAAGGGACGGGGCCAGCCCCTCGTGAGTGGCAGCTGCGTTAAGGCGTATATGTAAGGAGCATTTGTCATGTCAACGCAGGGAGCCACACTCACATTTCCTTTCCAACACAAAAAACTCCTGGTACAGGTCCAGCAACAGGGAACGTCTGCATGACCGGAATGAAAATGGGCGTCCATTGGGCTTTTTTCTTCTTCCCGAACGGACCGTAAGCATCTAACAAGACACATGGCTGGAAAATTCCACTGGCTTCTGGGACTAGCCTTGCCCTGCTCTGCCTCATCAACTCTAGACAGGTCCCAAAGATGCTGAGGCCTCATCTTTTCTGAATGTGGAGCAGCCTTGGTCCAGGACTCAGTGCTTGGTGTCACCTCTTCTCCATCCACGTACCTCTCCTTAGTGAGCTCCTCCAACCTATGGCTCTAAATACCAGCTCTATGTTGACAACTCCCTGTTTTCTATTTCTGGTCCAGACCTTCCTCACAAAGTTCCGACCTGAACACCCTCCCCCCGCCAAACATCTCCACTTGGACGACTGATGGGCCCCTCCAGCTGAGTGCACCTAAAATTAAGCTCTCCTCCACCCCAAATGAGCCGCCCACAGCTTTCCGCTGACTCCATCCTTCCCATGGCTCTAGCCAACACTTTGGGGTCACCGTAACTCTTCTCTCACGATGGGCCTCCGATCCCACCACCCTCACCATGCCACTGCCTCCACGTGGCCAGGCCACCATCAGCTCTCAGGGGACCTGCTGCAGGGCCCCCCGTCAGAGCTCCCGGCTCCCACCCTTGCCCCCCGTAGTCTGTTCCCAACACAGAGTCAGAGAGCCCTTTAAAGACCTGAGTGAGCCCGTGCCGCTGCTCTGCTCACAGCCCTCCGGGGGCTGCCATTTCACTCCCAGTCCTTTAATGGCACAGGTCTGGTATGATTGACACCTCTCCTAGACCCCTCTGCCCTGCTCCATCCACTCCAGCCACAAGGGACAGGCTTCGACCATCCTGGCAAGCCAGGGCGACCCCAAGCTGGGGGCGGGGCCAGAATGTAGGGCCCGGGAACGACCCAGGGCAGGTCAAGGATGAAAGGGCGGGCAGGGGCCTGTTGGCAGGAGGTCCGGTAAGTCAGCCTCAGAACTTGGCCTCTGTCCTGGATGTCTGTGCTTCCCAACCACGGATACCCAGTACAGGCAGAGAGTTAGAAAAATGCCACTGCCCGCTACAAAGAATGGCCGGTCCAGTGGTCATAAGCACTCTTAGTGCCAAACTGGTCTCCAGGTACCATTTTCCAGTAAGAGGAGCCAGGGCTCCTTGGGGATGACGAACTCCAGGTGCGCCTCGAACAGCCCCTTATCCCAGGTAGGCAGGAGGCTGCCAGGGGTCCCCAGGGTCCTCTCAGGGGCTCGGACGCCCGCCCAAAGGGCTGCCACTGGCCAGGGATGGAACACCATCAAAAATAATGACTACTGTGCATCAAAACGCACCGTGTTTAAATCCACACATTTAAAACTCTAACTGGTTGCTACTAGTGAACCCCTTGATACTCGGAGAACATAAATACAGGGGAAGAATCAAGCATTTCCTGCATGAACTTTTCCACTGGACAACCAAAGAGGAGTAATCAACAGTGTTTCCAAGTTAGCAAATGAAGAAGGAATGACAGCCTTAGAATGTCATCAGATTGCAACCCCTAATTAATCAACAGGTTTTAATATTGAATATCAATGGCTGCTGCCATCTCAAAGAGAAAGACACCCAGATATTATAGGTCCCCTGACAGAAGAACACGAAACCCCTTATGAAGTCAGTCCCCCAACCCTCAAATTGAAATAAGCCTAAGTTTCTGGATTCAATGATGAATTTACAAGAAATACAGAGGAACCTATTAAATGGCACATGGGAATGAGAGCACAAAATTCAGACCGTGGGACACTCTTCTGCATGAGCAAAGGGAGGTGGTTATGAACTGCGAAAACACGCAGTTATAAAAACTATGAGAAAATCAGAAATGAGGACGTTGACTAGTGTTAAGTGATGGGAAAGAATTATATTTTAGCTGTGGTAATGGTTTTGTGGTTATTTTTTTTGTTAAAGAGCCCTTATCATTTGGAGCTACATATGAAATGTTCACAGACAAAATAATAAATGTGAGATCTGCTACAAAATGCTACAGAGGAACGGAGGTGGGTGAAAAAAGACTGGCCTTGAGTTCCTGATGGTTGATGGGGGGTGAAGGATGCGTGGGGTTCATTATACTATTCTGTAGACTTTTACCTTCAATAGTTTGAAATTTTCCATAATATAAAGTTATGAAAACGCTCGGCCCCACTCCCAGAGATAAAAATTAATGGGTCTGGGCTTCAGTTCGAGCCCCGGTATTTTTTCAGGCTCTCCAGGTGATCTCATGCCCAGCCAAGGCTGGGAACGCTGCGATGGCTTCCACAAGCCCTGCAGAGAGCCTGCACGAAGACCGAGCCAAGGGCTGTGGTGTGGACAGAACTGGTCTGGGGCAGATCAAGGAGCTGAGCACATGGTCCTTGATTGCGCGGGGGGAGGAAAGGAGGAAGGAGAGGTCTAGTACAACGCAAAGGATTCTAGCTCAGCTGACTGTGGGGTGCTGGTCACTGGAACAGGAAACATGCCACAACTGGTAGTTTGGGGAGAAGTTCTGAGATTGTTTAGGACATGTTGACTTTGAGGGGCTCCTGGTGACTTCTGGTAGAGACATTCAGTGGACTGTTAGGCTTGTGGGTCTGGAGATCCACATTGAGACCCCGAGGAAGACGCAGAAGCTTAGGCCCCCCAGGGTTATCCCTTAAACCAAGACAGAGGGCTGCAGCCAATGATGCCAAGAGGGCCCAGGGGTGTCCAACCCGTGGCCCACAGGCCACATGTGGCCCAGGATGGTTATTAATGTGGCCCCACACAAAATCATAAATTTACTTAAAACCTTTTTTTGCTCATCAGTTTTCACTAGTGTTTGTGTATTTAATGAGTGGCCCAAGACAACTCTTCTTCTTCCAGTGTGGCCCAGAGACGCCAAAGGTCGCACACCCCTGCCTAGAGGAGACAACAGCCCCTTGGCCCCGCACCCTGGGGATGGGTGTCTGAATGTCCCCGTTTCTCTCTTGACTGGTCTCCACTCTTCGCCTTGGACATAAGCCCGAAGGGCAGTCGGCCAGGCTGAGCAGCCCTGCCTTCCCGAGCAGGTGCTGATGAACTCCTGCATGTTCCTACATCAGTCCTTAGGGCCTACGCAGCTCATCCGCAATTGTTACACAGGTGAGCAACGAGTACACCTGTGGGAAGTTGCCACGGTATGAATCACGGCCACGTGCGCCAGCAGCTGTCAGACCAGCTTGGAACTGTCGGCACACGTACCTCCCACAAGTGTGTACTGAACACTTCCCTGCGCCGGGCACAGTGCGAGGCAGGGGTGCCCCGGAAGCCAGGGGCCGGCCTCAGGGAGCTTGCTTTCAAGCGGGTACATAGACAGGAAACAAGCACACAAACACAAGCTTTGGAATTTTAGAAAATGGATTCTCTGCTGGGGGAAGGGACCATGGAATTCAAGAGCGACCTTGGGATGTTGGAAAAACCATTCCACTTGCCCACGCACAACCCCGCATAACCCAGGCTCCCAGCGTCAGACAGCTGACAGCGCTTCACTTTACGGCATCGAGAACCGAGGCCCTGAGCAGGAGGTGGCCCACCCACGGTCATTCTGCGGGGGCAGCCTGCGGACAAGCCTGCGTTCTCAAAGTCTGCACTGCAAGTTTCTTGGGCAACAATTTCATTCTTCCCACCCTTCTCAGCCACATGGTCTACCTTTTCCTTTGGACAAAAATGATCACTCGTCACAGAGGACCAAAGGCCCTCCCTCCCCCCGCCAGGACCAGGGACTTACCACTGAGTCCAGAAACTGAATGTAACACTCCAGCCCAGGTCTTGTTTCACAGAACTGCCGGAAAAGCAACCTCCCAATTGGCTGCTTGTCACATAAACTGCAGTAATCTCTGTCTGGAGACAAGAAAATAAGAATGCGGTGAGAGCCAGGCGGGGGCCAGGCAGGGCCATCCCACCAACCCTCCCCTGGACGTGAGGCCCCAGCTGGAGGGAGCGGGGTGACTGGCACACCCTCCAGGCTCTGCGGACTCAGAGCCACGGTCAGTGCAGACACGGGGTGTCCAGCCTTCGGGTGTCTCTGGGCCACACTGGAAGAAGAGTTGTCTTGGGCCACACATTCAACACATTGTGACATGTAATCACACAAAAAATTTCATAATGTTTTAAGTAAATTTACGATTTCGTGTTGGGCCATATTCACAGCCATCCCGGGCTGCATGTGGCCCACGGGCCATAGGTTGGACACCCCTGGGAGAAGAAGGTGCCGGTTATGGCCCAGCCTCTACCCCTAGCCCACTCCCTACTCCAATGTTCTCACTTCTATATGGAGATGCTAGCAGTTCTGGGGCCTGCAGCTGTCCCCTGGCTGGCAGACCAGCACGTCACACTCCCTGATTAAAGTGACTGGATGAGGGTGGCAGGCATGTGACTCAAGCCGGGAAAGCCAGGGTGAAGCCCAGGCTCTGCCGGGCCTGTTGAGTGAGGTGCTGGGCGCGTGGCTGCAGCCAGAGGCTGGGTGCTGCCGTGAGGGTGAGGCTGACACACACAGGGAGGGGTCAGAACGGGGAGAATGACAAAAGCAGACCCGGTGCCCTGCGACGTTGTGAATCTCTGGGCCACACCATCCCTGCGGCCCAGCCATATCTGAAAAACTTAGTGATGAGCTTGGCTTTGGGCAGTTTGAAAAAATTTTTTCATTAGTTATAATTCAAAGCACCCGAAAAAATACAGGAAAAAAATTTCATTTTTGCCAACTTGGAGCAAAACCTACTGTTAGGATGCTTCAAATTATGGAAGCCCTGCATTTTCCACCTGAGGCGCCAGGGGCACAGAGACAGAAAGTGACCAGCCCTCAGCCACTCAGTGGCCAAGAGTTCTGACAATGCCTTGCAAGACTCCAAGCCCAGAGGCCTAGCCAATGACATGCTGTGTGACTTCAAGAAACTCGCTTGCCCTTTCTGGGCCTCAGTCTTCCTCTGAAAACAATAAAGGCCCCTTGTTGGAAGTCAGATGGAGGCTGGAGAGAGGGGTGACCCCTCTTGCTCTCCGGGTAATGGCTCTGCAGGAGGCTCTCTCCAGCCAGAAAGATGCTTAGAGGGCTGACTGAGGCACGTAGCCTCGCGCCTGCTCGAGCCCTGCAAATTCGCCCTTTGCTTCTGCAGCTGCACTAGGAACAGTCAGGTGCTTTCATGGGGAGACCAGGAAGCGGGTGAGTTCGACCTGGGTTGGGAGAGCTTCCTGGACGGAAGGATTGACTGTCCTTGCCAAATGCAGAGAAGGGAGCAGGACAATTGGCGTCTCGAGGGCGTTTCTGAGGAAGACAGGGAACACCGCATGGATGGGAACACAGCCATCAGGCCAACTCATTTCCATGCCCAAAGAGCTCAGCCGAGGGGAGGTAAGGCACCTGCAGGGAGGCTGGGGGCTGAGAGCGTGGGTTATGGAGCCAAACCGCAGAGGTTCAAATCCCAGCCTGACCACTTACTGCCTGTGTGACATGAGGCAACAGACTGGACACTTTTATCCCTTTGTCTCCTCATCTGTAAACTGGGAACAATAATCATACCCAGCTCGAAGGACTATGGTGAGGATTAAATAAGACAACGTGTAGAAAGGACTCAGACCAGGACCTGGCACATAGGGAATGCTCAATAAACACCATCTACTATTATCCCAGATGTGGACTTTTTGGTCTGATCCATCTCCCTCTCGGGAGCCTTCTCTCCCTGTCTGCAAACCTCCAGCCTAAGGTTCTAAGGGAGCCAACAGTTCACAAGCCTCAGGGATGAGCATGTGATCCGGCCCTAGCCAATCAGAGCCCTCTTCCCATGGCCCCACCGATAGGTTCATGTGACCTGAGTGGGTCTTGGAGTCCTTCCAAGGCTTTTGCTAGAACTTCCAGGAAAGACACTTGCTTCTCTCTGGGGTGACAAGGCCACAGGGCCGGTTATCCCAGAGCTCCCGCAACCATCTTTCCCACTGGACAGCAAGGGCCCGCGGAGACCGAAGCCAGCACAGGGGAGAGCGAGCTGAGCGAAGAGAGAAACCTGGTGCCACACGACTGTCACGGGCACCCTGAAGCCAGCCCCCCGGGCCAGCCCAGTGCCTGCCCCTGATGCCCCCTGTCAGACTCCCGCCGAGGCCAGTTGGTGTTGGGTTTTTGTCTCTTGTGATTAAAAAAGCGAGTGACTGGGTAGGTCTGCAGGCAGGGCGTTTTGCGGGGCCCTCTTTTTCTGGTAAACCGCTGAGGGCAGGGACAGTTTTTGTAGGAATTCACAGGTTCTAAGTATTCTTTGTGTAAGGAGTCACTCAAAAAATGTCTCATTCTCACAGTGGATACTTTGCTCAATGGCATCCCCTCTTCGGGTGGGCTGGGGGCTGACACCAGCCTGGAACTATCACCTTAGTTCAGACCACCTTTTCGTGTACACAGATGGTTCGCGAACAGCCACTCCAACAAGCATTTAACCCACATCACCGAGTGCCAGGGTCAGCGGGGGTGGGGATGGGATGTGGTCCCCGCCCTCAGGGATCCTGGATTCTGTTAGAAAGGGAGTGTGTGGGGGGCTGAGCAGACAAGATCCCAAGTGACAGTAATAAAATGTCAAGTAAGATGAGTGCTAGCGTCTCGTAGAGTCAGCATAGCAGGGAGTCTGGGAAGGAGGGAGCCCGAGGGCGGCAGGTCTGTGGCCTGCACCTGTTAGCACAGCCCCCTGCCGTCAGCTCGCCTCCCCCACCGCCCGACGCCCACAGGTGAGGAAAACAAACGGCCCTGGCCTTTCCCAATCAGCTGAGCTTCCCCGGCGGGAACACAGAGGGAAAGTAAATTGCCTTATGTCAAACTCCGGTTTTATTCCATTATGGCAGAGAGCACCACACTGCTTATGTGATTTAAGCCCCCCTTTTTTCCAAAAGCAATTATGAGATTTCACATACTGCACTGTGATCGCTTAAGGGTCCATCTGACAGCATGTTTTCTCTCCATATGGCGCTTGCTTGTCAGTATGGAAACAAGGCTGTTATAAACTCCCAGCATAGTAAACACCACGTGATTCCAACGCAAGCTGTCAGCACCTCAGTTCCGTGCCGCTCCCAGCTGTACAGAGGATTCCAGGCAAGAAAGTCGCCCGCTGGAAGCCCGGGAAGAAACAGAAGGATTTGTGATCGGCTACTCAGATCCTTTTCTCAGCCTTATGTGAAGATGAATGAGTCTGTCTTTGAGGAAGCTCCACCGCCGCCGCCACCAAGGACAGAACCGAAGCGCAATGTTTGTGCTTCCTTTAGAAATGGAGAACGAAGCCACACAAGGAAGAAGATGAATTTGGGTCTTGATCAAGGTGACGGGGGAGGCAGAAATCACAGCGTGGTCTGCGGGGGCTGGTGATGAGGAGCGTCCCAGACAGAGGGGCAGAAGCCTTTTCTGCCTGATCACTGTCTCTCAAGCTGGGAAAACCGTGGGACACCGCGCATAGACACACACTCACTGTGCGCCGCCCCCCGCCCCCCCAGCTCTTCCACAACATGAAAATCCTGCTCTGGGCCACGTGCCTCATTGGTCCCTCCCTCCAAACCAGAAAGAGGCTGTTGTTACGTGAGATGTGAGTGAGGGGCATCAGGCCCCCCGGTCCCCAGTGTCCACCAATCACCTAATCATTCTAGCTTTATTCTTTTGGGTCCTTCACTTTTTCAACAAACTCTCTTCCAAGATCTCTTGCTTTTTGATATTAGAAGGTTCCTTCAACTTTAAGAGTCTCTTCTTGAATTCAGTGCCTGGGGGTGTGTGAAGAAATGGGTAGAAAGGGCTACGCCTCACACACACTGGCTGGTTCCCGATCCAGTAACAGGCTTGGAGTCAGCAGCTGGCCGTTGGCTGAGAGCAAGAATAGGGGTGTGGTCTTTGTGATGTGACATCTGGCCTTGGCTGCAGTCAGAGGTCTGGAGGACAGAACAAATGTAAGCACGTCCAAAGGAAGGTGGCTAAAAAGGGGTCCTAAAAAGCCCATTAGGAGCTCCCCAACACTGAGCTGTGCCCTTGGTCGAGGGGCAAAGTGCCAGGGAGGGGCTGGGGCCCATTGTGCACACAGGAGGGTGGAGGGACACCCTGGGATGGCAGGCAAGGCTCCGACAGGTAAGGACTGGCCTCCAAGGGCAAGGACACAGGAGTGGGTTCATTGTCCTACTGGGGTGTCCATGGTTTTAGAGAGCAAATGATTCAGGTAGAGTCCACGGAAAGGTGGGCAAATGGGATGGGGAGCAGGCGGGCTGAGACGTTTTCAGAGAAGGTCACTGCTGTTGGAGCCACGGTCGCCTGAGGTGCAGGCCTGGCCTCTGGGCAGGGAGGGTGCAGGGCCTGGGGTTGGGATCCTGCCTTGGTGAAGAGCTGGACTGAAGAAAACCATGTGTCCTTTGTTTCTCCAAGGGATTGACACCTCTCAAGCATGCCAAGGGCTGGCCCAGGAAGACAGGACGGCCACACCTCCTGCGACAGACACACAGCAGACAGAACTGCTCCTTCCCACAGACGGCCCCTTTAGCGAGTCCACCGGCACTGGCTCAGCCCCTACCGGGCAGTGCACGCCAAGCCCTCGAAGCGGCCATGGCACCGCAGGCCTCGTCTCTGTCCTGAGCGGTAAGCACACCTACTAGCTGGGCAGGGGGGAGGCACGTGCACGGACGGGCTGGGAAGAGCAGCCACGGGACAGAGCTGCATGTAGTGGGCTGCTGGCAAAGTCCGACAAGAGGGCACATACTGTCCTCGTGACCCGGGGTTGGTTTCTGGGGCGGTGCCCGCGGGACAGCACGCTGGAACATGGGGGTGAGTGTGACAGGGTCACCGAAGGCAATGCCGGCAGGGGAGAGGCTGCGTGCTGGGGCAGAAGAAGAAACACATCACA